CATAACATAACGGTCCAACTCAGATCAAACAGGTGACTTTAACCAAAAAACAAGAGAGAAAAAAAAGGGAAAAATTTAGGACAACTTCGCCCGGTGCCCCTGACAGGTAGCAGGGGAGGGCACCTCAGTGGAGCTCTAAACGAGCAACAATATGCGGTAATGCCCGCAAAACGGCAAGAGGGCGGTGGAAAAATCAATCTCCCGGGGCAGAATGGGATGAAGGCCTGTGCCGGGAGCCCCTCTGGGGTTTCGGAGCAGCTTGTTGCCAGTGGGATGAAGGGGAGAAACGCCATTCTGGCGGTCGGTCGGCCCACTCAGGCAATTCCGGCATGGAGATCTCCAGCTTGGCGCAAAACTCTGCCAGCTCCTCAGGGAAGCGCAGTATCGCTGATTTACCCTCCCGGGTAGCTATGAGGCAGGCGGGGAACCCCCATCTGTATGGGATATGGGCATCCTTCAGCAACTTCAGGAGGGGTCTGAGATGGCGCCTGCGAGCAAGTGTCTCCGGAGAGAGGTCAGGGAAGAGTTGAATCTTCGCCCCATCGAAGTCCACTTCAGAGGAGGATTTCAGGTGTGTGAAGATCAGGGCCTTATCTGTGTAGTAGTGGAGCCGCACTATGACGTCTCGGGGCAGTTCTCCCGCCAGTGCTCTGGGCCGCAGGGCCCTGTGCGCCCGATCAAACAGGAGAGTAGAGGTAGGGGGTCGACCCAGTATGGAATTGAGGATGCCCCTGACAGTGTCCGCGAGGTCTGCGTCACCCGTGGCTTCAGGCAGGCCTCGGAGACGCAGGTTGTTCCTGCGGTTTCTGTTCTCCTGGTCCTCGATCTTGTACAGCGCTTGGCGAGTGTGGAGCCAGGATAGCTTACCCTGATGTTGGAGCTCTCGGATCGCTTGTGTGTGTTCATCCAGGCGGTCTTCCGCGGCCTCCACGCGGTGCAGCGTGTGCGAGAGTTCGGACCTGAGCGCCGTCAGGTCCGACTTAATAGAGGTCTCCAGGCGAAGAAACATCGCCGACAGCTCCCGCTTGGTCGGCATGGATCGTGCCAAGGTGCGCATCGACAGTTCGGAGCCATCATCCGAGCCCTCCGCCTCCGACTGGGCCGAGGTATCATCCCTTCCAGGCCGGTGATGGTGGGTAGAGGCCTTCGCAGGCCGCGCTGGTGAGAGGGTTGGAGGCGCGTGCAGGGCCCCACGATCATCCGGCGGGGATTCCGCTGCCCATAGGCGCTTGAGTGAGCCCGCGTGCGGCCTCTTGGCTGAGGCCGACATTTGGCCTCTTTTCCCCCCCATGAGGATAGTAAGGGAGTCCGGCGAAGTGTCCTTGTGTCACGAGCAACTCGGGGATGGAGCAGGAGCTTCAATTACACACGTCCAGCCGCCGCCATAGGTAAGCCACGCCCCTCTGGAGTTTTAATACCTCAATGTGCTGCTGAACAAATCTGGTGTTACAGGGTGATTATAAATACTTTGGCTTCATCTGACCTGCCATGCTAGCGGGAGACCTGACCTAACTAACATTTTTGCATTTAGTACTTTAAAACTAAAAAATAACACTTATTAACCATTTTATAACCACCCTGCTTGGAACAGAAATCAGCATGTTTCTAGTAAGTGCCACAACATCAGGCCTACTTATTTTGTCATAGTGTTTGTTGTCTTTGTTGGCTTTACTGCATCATAATGAAGTCTAGCTATATTTGTCAGTAAATGGAGCCAAACATTTAGAATATAATGATCAGACATTTCGACAAGCTTTGCTTTACTTTGCTACAATTGCAAGTTGGTTGGTCATCCCATTGTTGCCTATGACAGTAGTAGGAGGTACTGGGTTATCTTTGTTAGTTCTCTGCTTTTTCAGAGATCGGTAGAACATAAAATTTCAACCGACCTAGTTGCTTGCAATGTTGCCACCAATCTGTCGCAGTCAGCTAGTGCGATCATTTGTCCTCCATACGCAGGGAGAAATTATCACAGGATTGCAAGAAAAACATTTGCATTGTGCAGCAACCCTGACCTTCCCCTTCCTTGATTGTGTTCCACTTTGTACAAAGCTGTTTGTAAATAATTCATGAGAATGAAACAATAAGAAAAACTGTGTGAAGATCACCTTTTTTGTAATCATTCCTAGGAAACAGACCTGGCTGTGGTTGCAGGGAGATCTCCACAGAAGTAAGCAGAAACAAATCCAGCTGGAAGATGGGACGGTGAACCGGATCTTGTCCGAATTTGAGGATTTGTCTGTGGGTACCAGGTTAAGTCGACACCACAGTTTGGACAGGTCAGGAGAGGTAAGTGTGACTGTTTCTTGTCTGGTTTTCTGTTATTTATATCTGAACTCCAGGCTGGTGTAAAATATGCTTGTGCAGTGAAGCCCTCACACTGCATGATGCCCTTGAGATGTCCTCGGCGTCCTCATGTATAATACAGGACAGCCTGCATTGGACATGATGGCGCCTAGAAGGCAGTGACCGGTTAAGTGGCGAAAGAAGGAGGCTCCAGGAGACCAGTCATATTGTGCAGAGGAAGCCTTTGGGATTGAGGAATAAGGTAAGTAATTTACCTTATTTATCATCAATGGCAAACCGCCATTGGTCCAAGCCATCCAACCAAAAGAAACTAAAAACACTGACGGCATCCATTTAGATGCCTCATCATTTATGAGCAAGTGAGGGACAAGGAGGCTTCTCCTTCCCTCCTGTACACATAGCTCGGTGACTGGGGCGTAGACAGGGCAGGGGTGATCCAGGGGGTGCCTCACCTGCTACGGACCTCACCACACGATCCTGATGGGTTGTGATTTACGTTTTAGTATGGTATTTTACCTGTCCTATTGAACTTGTTGCAGCACCTGTTTTCCATATTATGATACTGTACAACCAGTAATAGGCTTGATTTACTAAGCTATAATTTTGTAACTCTTATTTATTTTTAGCCTGCATTACCTGTGCTGAAAACAATGTTCAGCATGGCAAATAATGATAGGTAATTAAGCCTTATATCTACTATTTAGGAGTTGCACTTTTGCACTTTTAGCTTGGGTGCCAGAGGACCTTGTCCCGCCATTGGTTTTACTTGCTAAATGCCAATTACAGTGAAGTGAAGCACCAGGTCATCATCACTTTGAGTGAGTTCTGTCACAGAACTAAGGCCGAGCGGTGAGGGGAGAGAGAGGCGCCAGCTGTCTGTCAGATCCTGTCCGAGCGTCTCTCTCTCTCTCTCTTCACTGCTCGGCCTTAGATCTGTGACAACGGCTCCCTCCTCCGCCCTCCCCCGCCGCCAGCTGCAGCGGTTCCTTCACTTCTTCTCGGATCCCCGCTGCATACAGATGGGGAGAGCAGCGGGGATCCAGAGAAGCCCCATGGGGCGGGAGGAGAGGACATCGCGATCTACCAGTGATCGCTATGCGATCGACTGGTGGATTGCGATCGACCTTATGGGCACCCCTGGTTTAAAGGAAATATAGAAGTATGTTAAGCTATTACATAGTATGTTACATAGTATTTGAAGTTGAATAAAGACATAAGTCCATCGAGTCCAACCTATGGCGTGCATATATTTGGTTCTGCTGATGTGTGCGTATGTATAGGTCCTTATGTGATCTCATTCTTAAGAGTACCTGTACCCCTGTATATTACAGTCCCTAAGGAAATCCTCCAAAAGCTTCTTGAACAATTCCACACTCTTGGCTGAAATCACTGCACATGGCAGCAAGTTCCAGACCCTAACCGCTCTAACTGAGAAGAACCCCCTTCGCCCCTTGTGCTGAAATTTTTTCTCCACCAATTTTAGATGGTGGCCTCTAGTCTTTGTAATGGAGTTAACCGTAAAGAGTTTGTTGCTAATGTTGCTATCACCATTGAACATTTTGTACATGAAAATCATATCCCCCCTTAATCTCCTTACTTCCAACGAGAACATATTTAAATTTAGTAGCCTTGTCTCATAGCTCTGGTCCCTCCATCCCCTTAATGAGTTTGGTTGCCCTCCGCTAGACTCTTTCCAGCTCAAGGACATCCTTTCTCAGTATCGGTGACCAAAACTGGACCGCATACTCCAGATGAGGCCGAACCAGTGATCTGTATAGTGGCACAATTACAGACTTGTCCCTGCAAAACATCCCCTTCTTAATACAGGACAGGACTCTACTTGCTTTGTTTACAGCAGCCTGGCACTGCAAGCTATTATTAAGTCTGTGGTCTACAATGACCCCCAAATCATTTTCCATTTCTGACTTCCCTAGTGGCATACCCATAATTGTATAGCCCATTTGCCTATTTTTAACCCCAAAGTGCATTACTTTGCATTTATCGACATTGAACCTCATCTGCCTTATAGTTGGCCACTCCACTATTTTACCCAGGTCCACCTGTAATGTTATAATGTCTAAGTCCGTTTCTATTACCCTCCCGATTTTGCCTTATCTGACTTTTTCCATACGGAGTTTGCTTTTCACTTGAAATTAACTGTAAAAATCTGATAAGATGCAGATTACAGGATATAGGAGGTTTTTCCAGGAAATCACACGTGTTCTTTTCCAGATAACCTTTAAGTGTAATACTTTATTCTTTAGTCTCATTATGCTTGATTTACAACTCACTCTAGTTTCTTAATCTTGATTTAGTATGTTTACAGTTTTATCCATTACTAATTCTACATTAAAGGGCCTGCATTTAAAGCCACACCTCTTAGGTCCTTTCACGGGAATGACAAAAATGCCATCAGCAGTGCACTGAGTAATAAACAACTTTATACTTACCTATCCAGCCGCCTTATTGCTTAATCTTTGCTCTGTTGTAAAACCTCCAGCAACTATCCTGTTTTTCCTCACTGGCCATTGTGGTTTTTCCTGACAACCCCTACGCCACTACTGTGTTATGCATTGACTAGGGATCAGCAGGTGAAACAAGCTACAGCAAGGCAACCAATAGACAAATAAGTAAAAAGTAGAATACTAGTGATGGAAATTTAAACATCTGTATTATAATTAGTTTTGTGGAAGAACACCATTTTTCAAACATGCCCGCATGTTAGAATAGCATTCAGATTACTAGTCCTTACTCCTCATTAGTCGAAGAATCTCGAGACGCTGACTCGAGTATAAGCCGAGGGGGGCACTTTTCAGCACAAAAAATGGGCTGAAAAACTCGGCTTATACTCGAGTATATACGGTATATGTTGCAATCGCAATGCAAATACAACCACAATATACAATAGTTAAAATGTAGTAAAAGGGAACATTTATAAAGTATTTTAAAGAAAGTATTACTCCCTTCTAATGTTTCATGCCAAATTCCGTACAACCTTCCCTTTTTTTCTGGAGGAAAAGCTAACAAATGTGAAGACTTAGCCATCTTTTGTCTGGAGAAAAACAGAAGCCCACCATTTTTTTGGGCTTCTGTTGTGACCTACATCTAGAATGCATACACCCCTTAATCTGCCTGTCGATGCACTTGGCAAAGCCTACTCCAGATATTCCCCATCACAACCAAAAAACTGTTGTATCATCTTAATGGCACCATTGCCATTTCGCAACCTGGACATCCCCTTCATTTCTCATTATCACAAGGTTAAAAAGGGCTTTATCACAGCTACAGAGTATCTGGCTGCAACTCTTTGGGGCTGTCTAGGTTATGTTGTCATTTAAAGAATGATGTTTCCTAAGAGTCAGACCTTTGTGATTTCTGATATGTCAGCACCTACTTTAGATATGAACATAAGTACTGATTTAATTGTTTCTACTTCTAAGTGTATGACTCTGCATCCCTTTTCACCTCTATCTACTACTTGTGATCACACACATAGTTTTCATTGATAGACCTCCATTGTATTTCTTTGTTAAACTTGGTTGTTTCTTCTTTGTTTTGTAATATTGAAAAAGAAAAGTTTGAGGAAGCATCAGTGAAAAAAAATAGCATGCTTTCCCTTCCGAAATCTGTTCCGTAAAAATGACCCTGATTCCTGCAGAACATATTTGATTTTTAGTGAGAAATATTGTCTAACAAGCTTTTTCAACAAGCCAGGGCAGTGAGCAATGACAATGTGCAAAATGTAGCAAACTATAGAAACCTGACTTTTTGTCACATTAGAAAAATCGGAACAATAAATGGGTAAGATATGTTATTCAATGTGACATATTAGGGCCTGTTCACACATGCTGGGTTGACCTGAGTTGTACCTCACCGGTTCAACGCAGATCACCACAAGGACACATAGAAAACACTGTGTCCCATTTCTATGTGTCTCATTCACACCACAACGCTGCTGTGATGGATAGTGTGCTGTGATAAAATGCAAACATTCACACTGGATGCCACCACGGGTCGCCACATGGGAGTGCAGTGCACCACGCTGTTTTGCGGGAACCTAAGTGGAGTGTCCACACAGTACACTACCAATAAAGTAAAAAAAAAAAAAAGAAAAATGTAAACAGCGACAGCTCTGGTAGTGTGCAATAGAACACACAGTGCCGCAGCTGCCACAAAGCACTAGACAGTCCGCTATATTGCAACATTTATGCAGACGGGATAGTAAATAGGCCCTTACTGTTTCATACACTAACAGGGTTATTCACAAAAGGGTGAAGAGTTTGGAGAAGGCAGGAGAAGTGAACAATCTAGGCCAAAATAGCTGATATGGAAAAATTATCCAATCAGCTCACTTTCCATGTCAGCTATGTTGTCCTAGATTGTTCACCTCTCCTGCATTGTCCAAACTCTTTACCCTTTTCTGCATAACTCTGTAAATAAGATTTAAAATGTTAGGCTACCCATAGCTAAAACACTGTCTATAAAATTCAGACACTCATTATAAATCTGTCCTCCATTTCTGCAAAATATGGTGAAACCTAGGAAAGATTCATGTACAGTAACTTTGGGCTAGATGTATATTATTCTGAGCAGAATTGCCTCACACAGAATTTTTACTGCAACACAAAACTTACACATATGGCACAATTTACTCCAATATGGTCTTATTTATCACCACCCCCTGCTCTACTTTTCGTATCACTGATATGGTGGTACTTCCTAATGAATTTGTCACAGCCATAGTGGTGCTAGAATGTAAAAATGTCACACGTGAGAATTTGTTGCACAGATCGGAAATAGTACGGCTTTTATGAATTAGAAGGCCATAATACAAGAAAGGTGTTGCAAATGCTTTATTGTATTTTTATTTTTCTAATACTCTCCTGCAACACATAGAAAATACCTTTTTATCCTGCCAAAAGATCCATTGATTCTCCACTTTGTTCAGTAGAGTGACAAAGCTCTTTCACCGGCAGTGAATTACGCCAGCATTGTCACTCTTTGCAAGCACTGTAGCAAAGATGTATGGATGGGGTGGTCAGTATTTTCACCACTGATAGCCCTCCTTCACACTGGATGTCATCTTCTGACCACACATGTTTTCACCTCCTAACTTACCCTGCTCATGGAAGGTGTAGTTTCATTGTGCATTTGCACATCATTGGCAAAGAACATGCAAGGTCTGCTGAATCCCCCGCCCCCC